AACATACGTAGGTCGAACACAAAACCCTAAAAAAATATGAATAAATATTATGATGTGTTCCCTAAAAAAATATGAATAAATATTATGAATAGTATATTATTGATATTTTTTCTAGATCGTATAGAAATGATTAGAAATGATTAGGGGTGTTCAAATTTAAATAAATTTAAATAAAAAATTGAAAATCGATTTAAAAAATTTAAAATCTTAAAAAAATCAAAATTTATTGAATGTATTTGGATATTATTTTGTGAAAACCATTAGGTTCAGATTAAATTTCAGATTAATTTTCAAAAACTGATCCAAACCAAACCGAACTATATATATATATATATATATATATATATATATATATATATATATATATATATATATATATATATATATATATATATATATATATATATATATATATATATATATATATATATATATATTATTAGTATAATATATTACGTGAATTTATTATTAGATGATAATAATTTTTTAATACTATTTATTAATTTTGTATAATCTATTTATTTTTATGATTTCAACTATAATTGATCATTCACATTTTATAATATTAATATTTAATATATTATATGTTATATATTATATCAAATCTATGATTATTTATAGTTTTATAATATTAGTAAAAATATAATGTGTAATTTAGATATTTAAAAATCGATCCAAATTAAACTACATAAAGTTTGATCAGATTAAATTTTTATCTTTGGGTCAGACAAATTTTTATCTTAAAACCGATTCAAATCGAACTGCAAACACCTCTAAAAATGACTACTCTAATAAAAAAACAATGATTAACTATTTAATTGAATTTTAATATATTATGAAATATTTATAATCTTATAATTAATTTTATCGTTAGAAAATCATTTTATTTAATTGGTAAAAATCATTTTATTCTCTCTTCCGAGGTGCCCCAAAGGTCCCATGATAAAAAAAAATAAAGAGTAGATAGAACTTTATTCTCTTCGAATTAAGTAATTTCGTCTTCTATAACACTATGTTGGCGTAACAGTCGGGAGAGGATCAAGCGAGGAATTTTCATTTGAGCAACACATTTTTGTAGGAGACATATCATTTGTTCACCTAAAACCTTAAGGTGATAGATGAGTGAGTTCTTCCACTTATATATTCTCAAGTCACCACATTCCTATTTAATGTGAGACTATTCTTCCATTTACTCACACTTGTATTATTATTCTAACCCCTAAGTGTGAGTCCGCAATATTTTCTTACTTGTATCACCGTTGACACCTTGCAATGAGACACTATTTCTTGGGTATTTCAATACAAGTAAGTCGGTCTCTTTCTCGAACCAAAGGCTCTGGTACTATTTATTGGTGGAGTTTACTAGGAGCATTGATGTAAAGTTGAGGATTATACACCTCTGTGAGAGGACACACCACTTATCCACCTAAAATCTTAAGATTTTAGGTGAATGAGTTCTTCCACTTATATATTCTCAAGTCACCAAATTCCTATTCAATGTGAGACTATTTACCCACTCACTCACACTTACATTATTATTCTAACACACTTCCAGTCATTCAGATCAAACAAATGATTAAATATGATCCACACCTCACTCTGCGCATTCTATTTTAAGCATTTCCACTATTTAAGAGGAAAATGTGTTATTTTAAGTATTTAAATATATTCTTATTCTTACGTTATTTTCATTCTTTT